TTTTTTTTTTTTTTTTTTTTTTGGCGTTACAATTCTCCATCTAGTTTCGAATGGGAGGATAAAATGGAGGCCAACTCCCCTTCGACAATTTCACCCTCCTCATTATTTTTTTTCTAATTTTTGTTAGTTTATAAGTTCCTTGAAATTAAACTTACCATAATTGATAATTGAGATCTTTGTTTTTAAAAACCAATTTGAAAACTGAAACAAAAAAATTTGTTTTAGAAATTTAATTTCGAATTTACATGATTAGAAGGCTAGACTCGAAATATTGTAGAAAAAACAAGAGGCAAAATTTTAAAAATAAAAAAGAGTATAAAAACAAAATAGTATGAAATTAGCTTGAATAATTAGAAAAAACCAAAACAGTAACGACTAAGATAGTATTGGACTTTGGAACTTTCACTTACAATCATCAAATCTCAGGACGAATGGATAGCTTTGACGATTATATCTGACAATTATTAGAGACACAGAAGAAATGATGAATTCACATTCAAGACCGATCTCATTCAATACATACAAATTTGTAGGATTTTCTGTGTCTATTCCAATGCTATCTTTCATATAAAAAAAGCGAAAAGAAACGACAAAAACTTGGTAGAATTCGCAGAATCTGTAAGAAGGAGCCCTAAAAGCTATTGTGTTCTATATGCCTCTCTGCTGGCGAAGTGTGGTTGAGAGGTAGAAACTTGGTCAGATTTTTCCGAATTGGAAATTTCTTCAGCAGACCAAGCATACACAAGCCTATCCAAATCCAAATCCAAATCCAGATCCAAGTCCAAAACAAAATAAGAAAAGAAATCAAGAAAGAAAGGAGGAGGATTAATCCAATTTCTTTGACGATCAGATCCAAAATAAAGATTAAGAGCGAAAGATAACGAAAGGAGGAAAACAAAAATTTCACCTGTCGCCAGATCTGATCCCTAATTCTTCAGATTCTTCTGACTCTTCGAGTGCCGATTTTTCTTTCTCCTGCAGTAATCACAGATCTCTCTAGATCCACCGCCAATGGTGGCTTCTTGTTTTCCTTCGTCATGCTCCGCAGCAAATACCTAGGAGCCGCCTCCTTCCGCTCAACAGAATACGCCGCAGAAACCGATTTCCTCAAGCTATTAGCAACCTTCTTTGAACTGTGCCGCTTTGAAGATTCAACCGTCACACCGAGTCTATACGGAGTCTTGATATCGGCTACGGATTCGGCTTTCTTTCGCTTGAGCCTCTCGTTCCTCCTCGCGGAATACTCATCGTAGAATCTCCCTCGCTCGAACAGAGTACTCAAATTCACGCCTAATTGATCACCTACTCCACCAGTTCCAGACTCTTCACATCCTAATTCCATCCTAACCATGCTAGCCAGAGTCTGTAATTCGCAAGTAATCATCCGATACTCAGGTCGGAGCTCCGATGCCTGTAGATCCGAAGGACGGTTTGTTTTCAGCGATTTTGTCAAAGAACCTGTCCGCAGACGAAAGCGTTGTTCATCAACATAATACTCGCAAAACTAAAGAAAAACAAGCAGGATCTCCATCGATAATCAACGTGAAATTCAATCGGTTGATTCTAACATACCGGGCGGCGTTTGCAACGAGGTTGTTGAATTCGATTGAAGAACCTGGCGAGATCTGAGCCGCAAGGGCGATCTGGCGAGCGTCGGCCTGCGATCAGACCTCATCTTAGACATTGAAGCAAGAAATCAAATACCTAGAGGGAGGAAGAATAAATAGAGAGATCAGAATGCTGGTTTGTAGTTGGAATCTGAGAATGAGTTTGGTTTCGTTGCAGAGTTTTTGCGATTAGTTTGAATTGAGATTTAAATGAGGGGAGCGTCTCAACGGTCATATATTTTTAAGCCGTAGATGAGAGGCTGACATGGCAAGTGACAACTGCGTGAGATTTATTTATTTATTTATTATTTTTCCTTAAATTTGTTTTTTTCCCCATAAATGGCCGTCTTAAAAATAATAGGCACAATAGCAGTAATAACGGATAATCCTCGTTTAAGGCCATTTAATATCTAAATTATCTATTTTTTTTTATTTTCAAATCTTTAAAATTCGCAACTTAATTTCAATATATATATATATTTTTTTTTAAAAAATAACATTTTTAAGAGGCTTACAAATTTATTCTAAAATTGGTCGAAGAGTAAATAAATAAAAAAACAACTATGGAATTAAATAAAATTAAAACAAACAATATGTACTCCCCAATAAATTTGGGTTTGTTTAGTTTAAAATAATAATAATAAACTTTTTATTTATTTAAATTCAACCTAATTTAAACTCTTTTTTAGATAAATTAATAAAAAATCTCTCTGAATTTTTAAAAGGCTATTCCTTTTCTTTTAGTATTAAAATTTCATTAATACCATTAAAATTTATAAAAAAAATTATAAAAATATTTAAAAAATACCTTTCTAAATGGAAAAGTCTCTTACCATTAATATACTGAGGGAATGTTATTACCACATTTGAAATGTAATATTAACTCCAATACTCAAATATTTCTTTAAATTTGACTTTGAGTTGGAAAATAAGTCACTTATAAATAAATTAAATATTATATTCATATATGCATATGCTCGTAAAGGAGAGAATTTATCTTTTTTATTTAATTTTTTATATTTAAGAAAAAAAATTATAAAATGTAGATAAATTGTCTCGGTATAATGATAACAAAAGTTAATAATTTATGTGTATTTTTTAAACATAATAATATTTTTGGACTTCTAAAAAAAATTAAAAAAAGAAATTTAATGGCTTAAATGGAATTTTGAATATTTAAGGATATTTGTGATTTCCTACTAAATAAATAAGGGTAAGGGTATTTTGAATGAAAAGTTTTAAGTATTTCTTACTTATAAACTCATAATCATCTTTTAAATTAGTCAATGTGGGACTCCCTCCCAACAATCCTTCGTAAGATCCCAAATGAATTGGCTTATTCGAAAAAAGTCTTATTCGTTGGAAGATCTATCTCGTGTTTGGTACTGCAAGAACTCCGAATCATTCTCTTGAAGCTCATCCTCTTCGTCAGAAATGATCCGCTTGCCTCGAAATAACCTAGCCCAATAGGAAAAATTCCAATTCATTGGGCCTTTCCCCTTCTTCGAACACCCATTCATATTGTTCATACAAGATCCATTTTGTATCATATCTAAGAGATTCTTGTATATTTAATATTGTATACAGTCAAGTAAATTATATTAAAGGAGAGAAAATATATTATAAAATTATAATAAAATTTCTTTTATTTAATTTTTATTCTTATTATAAATGATGTGTAGATTTTTTTGAGTTTATTTAGCTGTGTAGCATAATAAAATTATAAATAGTGAGTATGATAATGAAATTAAAATTTAATTATAAACGTTATATTTAAACAATCAAATATAATTAATTTATCTTTTGTAGAAATTAAAATTGAATTTCTAGCGTAAAAATGATTTTTCTTAAAAGGAAGTGCAGAAGCTGAACGACTTGTTCCTCAAGATATCTGGGTCAATTTTTTTCACGAGAAATCAAGCAACACAAAGACTCCCGCGATCTTCCCAATCTTTCTCACAACTCTCTCTCTCAAGGTTCTTAACTTCTTTTTCTCTCCATTTTTTATCTGCCATGTTTTTGTTTATAGCATTTCTCTCTCTCGGCGATGGTTTACGATTTGTCTGGTGAATTATGCTGTGTTTGATAGTTTGTTTTTATAGTTTCTGCTAGTTTCGTTGTGTTCTTTGATCCTCTGCGGAATTAGGGAGGAAAAACAATGAATTCTGTATGCCTCCAGTTCTCCCTCTCTTCTCTGTTTTTGTCTCGTCTCTGCATCATATTCTGTACAGAAAATTTATTGATGAGCCTCACACTACGTGTCTGCCTGTTTCGAAGAATCAAATGTGAATTTCCAGTTTCTGTGCTCTCAATTATAATTACCGTTGCTTTTAAGATACGTTTATTATTGTGTTCTTCATGGACTTTCAAGCGACACTACAAAAATATGTATAGTTTTAAGCTATAAATTTGAAGTTAGGAAACAAATAATTGCTGTTTCGTAGCCAAAGTAAAAAATCCTGTGTAAAGTGTATGTTGTCTGCTCAACCCAATTCAACACTCTTGGGATTGGATTGGTGTGGAAATTCAAGTTGGTTGAACAATAAGCCCCAAAATTTTGATTGGTGGGTCACTTGGGTCAATTCAATGCTTTCAACACTAAAACATGCCTTCATATGTGTGTATTTCCTTTGTTAATCTATTTCAAATTTGTTGCTGATTTTTCATAATACTAAAGATTTGTAGATCAGTGTGATCTTTCTGATGGCAACTGAACCGAAGGCAGGTACTGAGGAAGTGAAAGTTGACCTCTTTGAGGATGACGATGAGTTCGAAGAGTTCGAGATTAATGAAGGTATGACTTGTAATTATTTGTCTTCTATTTTTCATAATACTATCGTTTTCAATTGGCACTCATTTTTCATTTATGCTTGTCCTGCAATTTCTTCTTTGTTTCATCCAAAGAAATGTTGAAGTTAAGTAACAGTCTGGGTGATCCTGTTACAGATTCAGTCCTAATTGCTAGTTTTCTTCATTTGGATGCCCTATTACTGTTGTTATGTTCACTCACTGTTTCATGGTAAATCCTTGGAGTCCCATGTTCGAAAAAAATGAGCTAGAATGTTTGTAAACTCAATTACAATAGTGACAATCAATGGACAAAAGTATGAACCTGGATAAAGAAGAGTTGGAATAATAGTTTTTAAAAGATATGCCCCTTAAGTATACTATATTCGGTGGGTCTTTGATACAATGCCATTGCAAGTGTACGCACATTACACTCATGGTAGAAAGAAGAACCCATTGGTTGAATTTTTCTTTACGCAGTTCTTTCGGTTTCCGTATTGTAATACTGAGTTCTCCACCTCCATTTCTATTTTTAGTTAATTTCCTTGTTTTAGGAGGATGGTTCTCCATGATTGACTCATGGTTTCATTGACGTAGCAATGTATTTATACAACTTGTATAAATAGTCATAAACATCAATGAAGATGGTACCTAAGAATTTTCAATTCAGTCTTGAGTACTCTTAACTTAAGGTTCCCTCTATTTGAGCCTTACAATTATCCAAAATAGGTCGAAAGAAAAATTCTACTTCTTTCCCCACACTGTCTTTTTCCACTTACAACCCATAACTTGATTGCAGACTTGGACCTGTAACCATCTTTTTCTTTTTAGGATATTAATACCTTCTAGATGTTTGCTTTTAAGTTGACATAATTACTTATGAAAAAAATGTTAATTGAAATGTTTTTTTTCCTCTAAAGATAAAAGAAGTTTCCTTGTATCCTCAAAAATACTAGTAGTAATACTCAAGAAGTTGGTGGTAGAGCTTTCAAATGGAGTTTGTGGTTGATTTCTGAATAATCTACAGATTTTGCTTTGATTGCTGAGGGATTGGCAGAATAAACTTATTCCAATTTTATATTTATACAAACAAATTGATGATGACCTTAAAGCTAAAACCACTTCACTTTGCTCAATGGAAGTGATTACGGCTACCTGACCAATATTCATATCGTATGCGTGGTAGCTTGATCTTGTTGTTGACTGAAACTATGATTTGAAGATCCTGCATTTCCTTTAAAAGGAAAAATTTGTAGTCATAAGGAAGTTTTGGAGTTGTTTAAATGGAGCATTATAGATTGCTGGTCTGAATCTGTTAATTGTACTCACTAAGAATGTGTTCTTGTTGATCTTTCACTTGCTTAATGTTGACTTAGTACTCGGCTGAACATCTCTCGACTACAAAAACCAAAGTTCTTTTGTTCTTGGCATACCATCTTTAAGCCTTCGGATATTTTTATAACCATTCCTTGTGTTCTGTTTGTTAAAATGAATTACAGAGTGGGAAGTCAAGGAAGGTAAAGAAATTACTCAGCAGTGGGAAGACGACTGGGACGATGACGATGTGAATGACGACTTCTCGTTGCAACTTAAGAGAGAATTGGAGGACAATGCTGAGAGAAAATGAATAGACACTTAGGAATCTTATTCAATCAGGAATGTACCAAAAACTTCAACCATTATGAACTTTCTTCCTAATATTGATGCCCATTCTTCCATAATATTTGAATTTTCTTCCTAGTACACGTTAGTGATACTAACACCATACATCGAATGCTTGCTTGGCTAGCTGCATCAACTTGGATCCGACCTTGAGGTTTAAAATTTGATCAATTTTGGGTGTGGCCTTGTGAGAAGGAATTGATGAGGGGCAAGAAAAAAGGTACGGAATTCTGTATCACATCCACTTGTTTTCTTTCATAGTAAGAACATTAAGTGCTCCATACAGAGAGAAGCTTGGCATCATCATATTCAAAGTAAAGTAAAGAGAGAGACTCAAAAAGGGAAAGAAAATAGTTCGAAACTCTATCATAAGAACATTCTTCAGGAAAGATAATAGTTATAAGCTCAGGACTTCTGTAATGTAGTCTGGAAAAACCTTGAATGAATCTAGTACAAATAAAATGAAAGATAATAGTTAGGTATTGAATCAATCAACTTTGTTAATGAAAACCAATTAATTTTTTGTTTGCTACTGAAATTTACTTATAACCAGTTATAATGGTTAATACTTGAACCATATGGAATTGAGATACAAAGGGATAATGTTTAAATAATACGTGCCTAGACACTTGAGCCATAGGCTGCCACGGATGTGGAGTGTTTAAAAGACTTGATTTAGTGTCCGCTATAGTTGCATAGTGTCACAGCCATATTATAAAAAAAAGTAGGTTGTGACCTTCATGTTGAGACAAGCAAAGCGGCGACTCTCAAGTGGTGCACTTTCGGCCACAGGAGAGCCAAGACAAATAAGTGTCATGATGCAACTGAGGAGAATGGTGTATCATCCAACACATCAATAATGTGTACATTGAAAAGAAGATGTGACATTAGCAAGTTGGGGCAAAGAGTATACATGAGTGTCAGAGATAGGCTTGTTGAAGGGTTGGGTAGAGCCTCGGGCCTCAACCCTGAAAGTTGGGGTTTTTGAGGGAATTTCAATATGTGGTTCTGGATTCAAGTTTATCCATATGAAATATGAAAGTTTGCCAAATTTGGTGTTAATTGGACATCAAACTGACGCTCCACGACACCGTATGCCCGTTAACCCAAATTATGTCTACACCCACTAGATATAGGGAGATATGGTATCAACTCTCCACCACCCTTAGACTCTGTGACTTAAGCGAGCTACTTTGTGGCACATACGTGTGCCACAATAAGGGCGAGCGTTGTGAGACAAGTGTTTAGGGCAACTTCCAATTTTTTAAGGACAATGTTGAATGATACAAGTGTGTTGACATTGTGTCCCAACCCATGTGTCAGAGGTTGGATCATACACCCACTATCCAGGATCCAATGCCTTGATAGAACCTAGATAGATGGATATTCGAGATGTCCCAATATCATGAACGACGCGTAGTTCCGCTTTCGATGGCATGATCGAGTGAGTTGTGATGACCGACAACACCTCACGACTTTGGATGGCATCAAGACATATGTGCCATATTAATTGGGAATCTAGATGATGTAGGGACACAATGTATTATTGAGAGACCTTGACCTTGCATCAAGACAAGGTCGAGTCAAATGAATTAGGTTAGTATAGAGGCAAGTCGGTTAAGTCGCACACGATTGAACATGCACGCGCAGGTGGCATATGTGGTCGAACAAGCTTGGATTCTGCACAAGTTGTGTTCAGTGTATGAAAACAAACCTCACCTAAGGTTTGACGAAGTCACAAAGCCAAACGAAAAATAATATGGGGCTTCGGTTTCCCTCAAGACTGGTCGTGAGTGTGTCAAGATCACGACACCCCATGGTTGAAAATATACGACCATGACACACATCTCCATTATGCGCTTGCCATTGACCTCCTAATTCTTGTTCAATGTAAAAAAGAAAGAATAGAATGAAGCATAATAATATACTCAATAAGTATGTTATGTTATGATTATGCTATGTTGATCAATGTTATATGATGCATGTACTTCAAGTATGCAAGTCCATGTATGTTTTGATATCATGTTCACAAGTATGCCTATGAGACATCAATGAGCTATATATGATAATAATGAAAAACATGTCATGTACACGTATGCATGTCTCATAGGAAAGTTATCTAATGAAAAGAATGGAAGTATGATGTACATCATAACCACGTACTATGATTTGAAATACGAGATCTTATGTCACGAGCATGTGATACTTTCCTAGTATGAATTGCAAGAGACGCGTACACCATGATATGATATGCAACTCTTTCTTTCTATTGGTTTCTAGCAACTTAAGTATGCACTAGCTTGTAGCAAGGCATAGGGGTACGTAAACGAGCCCACCTTGTGGATTTATGCGCACATGCATGAACCATGCTTAGAGAAATATTATGCATCCAATTTTTTCCCCCAACAAACCAAGAAAATGGGTAAGTCAATAGCATCAATTTCAAGGTTTGTTCTTCTTCTACCTTTCACAAATCCATGTTTTGCTGACTCCATTCATCTACAAAGCTTTCCCTTTTGTTGACTCCTTTTGACCGTTCATATGGTTAAATGAACGTTTTCAAACAATAAGGAGATATTTGAAACATACCCGAAACTTGAAACTTAAAAGGTATTAGTTCATAAGTAAAACTAAAAGCTATTACTCTTATCACATCTATCATATTTTAATTGTCACGATCATATCACATCACTGACAAATTTAATGAACCATATTTATTATCGAGTAATACATTCATAATATTTTTAATGAAGTATATTATTACTGAATGAATTAATATTTTCATAATTAATTTTATTTATCTTATGAAATTAAACTAACTTAAGAAATTAGTAGAAATCTAAAATAAAAAACAATTTAGACAATTATTTTTTTAATGTCGGATTGAAACAGGTCCAATCAGCTTAACTGTTAAAATTGTTGTGTAAGAAGTTTCTTAGAAGCTATTGGGAATGATAATTGTAAAAGCCTGCAAAATTGGGGCCGTTGAACGTGCAGAAAATACTTTCATCTTCTTTCCCTTTTGGTCTGCCAATCGACATTGATTTCATCGTTTTCATTCCACATAGCCTTCCAACAATGGCGACTCTGACCAACTGAAAACAACACCCACGATCTGCTTTCCCCTGTTTCTGCCTTATGGCTCGCCCCCTCCGCTCCTTATGCCTCACCTTCTTCTTCTTCTTCTTCTTCTTCTTCTTCACATTTTTCGATTGTTTTCTCGTTGCTGCTGAGGATCCCGACAACAATCGATTAACCCCAATCAACCGCGATCTTTATCATTCTAGGTTTGTTATTTTCTGATTCGGATTTCGCCACTTCTTTTTCTCTCTTTTCACTTTCATCCTGATTAGAATGGATGAGATTAGATGCAAAGTATAATTTGCCGGTTGGGGTATTCATGATTCTTATTATCGCTCTTCTCTGTCTGGATTTTGGGTATTTAATCATATAGCTGATGCAATTTCTATGTTTCGGTTCTGGAAATTTGATATATTAGATTCTGCCTAGATTTGTCTGTATCTAACTTTCCCAATACTGAAGAACGTGAAATTTTGATCTTATGAGTTTTTGGTGCATCACTATCTTAACGAGTCTGATACAACTCTAGGGTTCCATGATCTTTGTTGAATATTAACCTGGCAGTAATATGGTTTGTTGAATACTTTCAACATCTGAAACTATCATGCTTTTGTATAGCGATCTGTTCATTTAACAATGTTCAACCCGGACTGACAGTTTTCCCAATTCGTTGGGTGATTGGATCTTGCAGTGTTGATTTGATGAAGGAGATAGAAGCTGTGGTCCATCGACACTCTGATAAGTTGACTGTATGTTCTTGTTGTTGGTTCTCCTTTATTCAGGCATTATGCTTTGGTTTGGTATTTACTTACAATTTTGAAGCAGATAGAGACAATGAAGTCTAGAAATAAGGGTTATGTTGTAGAGATGCCAGTGGTTACTTATCGCCATGGAAGGAATAACATTGATGACATCTCGAAGTTCCGGATACTTCTTGTAAGTTTTCTGTTGAATTACATATTCGTTTGATCTTCTAGGTTTTCATTTCCTTTGTGATATTTTGGGATTGAAACATGCCTGTTTAGTTCTTGAAATAAATTAAAATGGGCTTACTTTAGAATTCTGTTCTTCCTGTCATTCTTTCTTTTGATTAAGTGAAGATATCATCTCAGTTGGCAATTGCTGGTGTTCTTGACAGATGATTCCTCCTTGTCTTCCAGAGTTTTGGACAGCATGGAAGGGAGCTCATAACAACAGAACTTGCGCTAAGAATTCTTTTAATCTTGAGTGAAGAACTGTTTTTGCCCCACATGGATCGAGCTTCCTTGAACAACACACTTACCAAGCTTGTCATCAAGGTTTGTGAGATAGTAAAACGGCCTTATTGGCCGAACTTTTCTGTTGATTTGTTCAGGCTGTAATGTTTTACATTGATAAGTGAAATAAGTTATGGAGCATACAATTTTTGGTTCCATAATTTTAGGAAGTTTGTAGCAATGAAGTTCATGCAGTTAACACTGTATTTTAGTTAACAAAACTGAAAGTTTTGTTCATGCTTGAGCTTGAACATATATTTGTCACCCTATATTTATTAAGTTCTTCCATGTGGGTTAAAATTCAATTGGTTAATGGACTCATAAGAACTTGAAAGAGATATATGTTCCAACTGTTATTTGCTTCAAAATTAAGTCCCGTGTTTCTGTATGCATAAATAATGTGCCCGCTCATGGATGTTGTCAGGTTGTGCCAATGGAAAACTTAAATGGGCGCAGACTTGTCGAGGGTGGGGATCTATGTGAAAGAAGAAATGGTAAGGCAGCTGGTTTAATTTAATCCATTATATGGTCATACAAGGTAATCAAGGTGGATACTGACATGCCTGAGTTTGTGCTCTTATGGCAGGGAGAGGTGTTGATCTGAACAGGAATTGGAGCGTTGATTGGGGTAAAAAGGAGAAGGTTGGTATCTATCTCTGATTCCCACTTGAACCATTTGACGAGGTTTTGATATAGTCTGTTGGATGACTTATGAGTTCTGTGAGATCACACATCAGCCGGAGAGGGAACGAAGCATTTCTTTTAAGGGTGTGTAAACCACTCCTTAGTAAACACGTTTTAAAACCTTGAGGGAAACCCAAAGAAGACAATATCTACTAGTGGTGGGCTTGGGTTGTTACAAATGGTATCAGAGCCAGATATCGGGCAGTGTACCAGCGAGGATACTGGGCTCCCAAGGGGGGTGAATTATGAGATCCCATATCGATTGAAGAGGGGAACGAAGCGTTGTTCAATTGATTTCTCTCTGGCTTTTTTTGTGTATGGTAGTTGTAATACTCTCTTCTGTCCAAAGATTTTTAATCCTCCTCCTTCCTATTTGTTTCAGGATTATGATCCTTACGAGGAAAATCCTGGTTTGTCACCTTTCAGCGAACCAGAAACTCAAATTATGCGAAAACTTGCCTTGACATTTGATCCACATATATGGGTCAATGTGCACTCTGGAATGGAGGTAAGAAACAATATGAATTTCATTTGTGTTGGCCTAATGCTGAGGGGCTAAGACAACAAGATTTATCTATCAACCTGGATAGTGATGAAACTGTTCTTCAAAAAGTTTCTTGAAATGAATTTAGTTAGCTTGAGGTGTCAAAATGTAATCAGTTTTGCTTTGGATGATTGGCAGAAATGGCAGCATTAATATTAATCCAAAATGTAACGAGTTTTGCTTTCCCCGCTCTTCATTATAGGCTGAACTTGCTGCTTTTGGTTCTCACTTCTTTAGGCTTTATTCATGCCTTATGACCATAAAAACACAACTCCTGACGGCGAAATTGCTCAACAAATGAAACTTTTGCTTGAAGAGCTGAACAATCTCCATTGCCACCACCGCTGCATGATTGGATCAGGCGGAGGTTCCGTCGGGTTAGTTTCTTTTTTTTATTGCCATTCTTCTGGTAGATTTATCATATCAGGTGGATTCTTTATGATTCTGTTTTAAAATTTTTAATTCATCTTTTCCAATGAATCCAAGCTAGTTAATTTGAAGTTTTTGTTGGTTTAGTTGAATCCCTTATTTGCTCTTGCACTACCATTCTTGATATGCAAATGCGTTTAAACTTATTCCTGCATGATCTTTGTTTGAAGGTATCTGGCACATGGGACAGCCACAGATTTCATGTTTGACAAGGCACGAGTACCTATGTCTTTCACTTTTGAGGTTTGTCAAACGTAAACTGCTATGTAACTTTCATAGAATAATCTTGCTGGTTCATGTCTTAAAACAAAGCCTCTGTTCATCATATGATTGTATCAGATATATGGAGACGCAGCTGCCTCATCGAATGACTGCTTTAAAATGTTCAATCCCACGGACCCCGATACCTTCAATGTACTTGCTATTTAACATTTCCTGTTATCTTGACCAACTGATGACCATGGAAACCATTAGCTGAATGCAATTTTCTTCTTTGTTTTCAGAGGGTTCTCGGCGATTGGTCGGCTGCATTTTTCACAATCTTTAAGCTGGGTCCGGAGTACCTCGGCGAGACCAAGCTCCATAGAAAGGGGAACTTAGACAAGCTGGTGTCGATTGATGAATACCTTGAAGGGTACTTGATTGAGAGGAGTAGCAGATACGGGAAGAAAAGGGAGGTGTTTGAACTAGGGTTGCAAGAGATGAGAACATATTTTAGGCTGTTTTTATTGTCGTCAGTTCTACTAATGTTCATGTTTTGTTCCAGAATTTCTAAAAGCAAGTTCACTAAACCACTTGTTTCTGCCCTTTCCCTTTGAGATAGTTACAAAAAGAAACATGTATTTAGTTTCTGAACTCCACAGTTTATTGCCATATTCTATTCTAAACGAGTATAGATGACCTCATATTTGTCTGAGCACTGTAATATCATATGTTTACAGAAACATCCCTTTCTCTCACTCTCTCTCCCAAAAGATGAACGTGATAATACAATGTTATAATTTGTAAGGTTCAGTAGAACTTACAATTCAGTCCAAGAAATTTCATTCTTTTACGTGTATAAAATGGTCGTAAAAGTACAAAGAGGGTGGCGAACCAGATGTTTGTTCCATCCAAACACAGTTTCAACCGTCAATGTTTGTTCCATTCAAGCCTTCTTCTGCTTCATTCCTTAGCTGTTTCTCCAGGAGGCAGTTCTGCAAGCTTTGGTGTACTTCCCAGAATTCTTTCCATGTCGAACCGAACTTCAATGTTGCGAATGCTATACCCGACCACCATTAGCCAGTACAGAAGCTTTGCCAGCTCTGGTGCTGTTGTCTCTGATACACTTGTCTGAAATGTAGAGATCCATGATATATGTATGCAGAAGTTCAGTTACATTTTTGTGATGAAAAATATTACTTTATCCAGGGGTATAAATCAAATCAACTTGGTTCGGTTCTTGACCGAACTAGCCAAAAACCGATCATTGACCCATAGCTGTTACAGTTAAAAGAAAGGATAGAGGACGTTTGTCTGGACGAACCTTCATTTGACTTGGATCAGAAACCGCTAATAGACGCTTTATGAATGTATTCATTGCAACAACAGCATCCTCGCCAGCACTACTTGTCAACTCCTGCATTTGTGGTAACCAAGGGTTGAGATCAGTTCAGGTACACAACTAATCAATGCACCATTAGTAGTTGTTCGGATTCAGATTAATAAAATTAACGAAGCATCTAACATGAAGGGGATACAATCATTAGATATGAATAATATGACAAGGTTGTACAGCTTATTACGCTAGAAAAAGAAGAAGATTCCAGAGGAGTAAGGTATCCTTTTTCCCATCATAGACAATCAACGTCTATAAAAGATGACACTGTAAGCCTAGCGACTCCAACACCAGAAGTAATCAACAACCTAATTAGCATTCGAAAAGCCCAACAGAAGCAAGTAGCTAACAGAGAAATGAAAGAATGTTTCCTTACCTTCAGATTTTGGGGTTCAAGTGTTTTGAGATACTCCAACAATTCATTTTGCCCACTTGCAGATTTTCTATCTACTTGGCGATTAAGTTCCTCCATCTCTGCTTCAAGTAACTCTATGTACCTTTTAGCATCAATTCTCTCGGGACCGGATACATTATTCCACCGGATGACTTCCCCAGTGACATTTTTTTGCGTACCAGCTGCATAATTCGAACCATCCTGAACAATTACGGGGTTAATTCATATTAGATAAACTTTAAGTAACCAAGCAATTCTAACAGTATGCCACACGTAAAATTGTAGACAACAGAGGAATTCATAATGAAGTTTTACACATGATATAATATATATATTAGTATGCACAGTTAGAGATGTCCATCTAATCTGCAGGGTCCACTTGTCCAAATGGGGTAGGGATTTACCGTTTAAACGGAGAATGGGGAGCATTTTCCACCCATTAGATAAATGGGATTAGGGACAAGATTATAGTCCCTGTCCCGCCCCACTTAATATAAATGTATTTTCAACCTAATGCAATCTACCAAAATAGAAAAACCGACTAGACCCGCATATATTAAAAAATATTTTATATAGACATAAAATAAGTAGGGTTTTCTACTTTTTGGCTCTACAAACAATAGCGGCATGCGTGTGCAACCTTAGTAACTTACCTTAAATCCTATCTCCCACATCCACAGTGGTGTCCCCTTGCTTTTACTCCCATAGCAACGGGCATCCCACATTCAGTCGTTTTCTCTTCAGCAACCCACACAGGTGATAAACACACATCCGTAGTGACTGAATGTGTTGATCTAAACTTATGCTTGTCTGTGTGTTTACATGTTTGAGGATTTTTCTATGTTTTTTTTGAGAAGTGACATACAGATTGTTTTCCCTGTACGATTTTTCAGTCGGGTTGAAGCAGTTCCAGCTCTAGTTGCTGTGAAAGCAGAGGAGCCCATAAGTAAAAGCAATTATTATGGTGCTTTCCGCCTCACCTATGATTTAAAAGCTGTAAGTTCTTCAAGTCTCATGTGAGTTTTCTCTGGTTTATTGAAAATTATAATTCAACAGTGTTTTGGGGGTTGATTTTAACCTAACTCATAAGATCGCCATATCCTGCAATTTTTCTATTCTTTTGGTTTAGTTTCATGTTTAGATTGTTTCCTACAATCTCTCATTACCTACCATCTTTTGCTCTTTTAATGTATTTCTTGGGATTGCGTGAGATTTTCCTCACATGCTTGATTCTTACTTGCATAAAAATGGAACTATTTATCAATCTTTTTCTCAAGAGGAAGTTTATGAGGAGTAACCACTTGAATTTGTTGCTTATGGGGAGAGTGATAAAGTTTGTCACCTTAGAAAATCGTTCTATGGATTCTCACACGCATGATTTGTTAAATTAGCTAAGCACTTGAGCAGTTTTGAATGAATGCAAAGTTCAACGGATCATTTTGTCTTCTATCAGCAATTTGATAGGGTGCGACCACTGAAGTATTTATGAGGCATCAAAGTGATGAGAAGCAAAAAAGCTATCTTTTTTCACAACGAAAATATGTACTTGATTGTAATCTATGCCAAAGAAAAATGGGAGTTAAATCAAGTAGTACCCCAATGATACTAATTTCCAACTCATTAAAGGAGAATCATTTTTTAAATTCTGAGATATACAGAAGATTGGTTGGGAAGTTGAATTATCGAATAGTGACACGTCCAAATATCGGCTATCTAATAAGGTATTGTAATTCAATATATATATTCACCTATAGTGGATCACGGGCTGCAGTGGAACAAATTCTATGTTACCTACAAGTTGGACCTAGCATGAAATCTTATATAAAGATCATGTTTACCAAAGTTGAATGTTTCTCAAATGTTGATTAGGTAGGATCTAGAGAAGATAAAAGATCAACTCTCTAGCAAGCTTAATTTGATTAACGAAACGGAATAAAACATTTTGGTCAGATCATTTTAGCAACCCTGATTTCCAGGATAAGTAGGCCAAAGCAAACTATAATTAAACTTGCAATAAAACAACAGACAAAAGAAAACAAAGTTATCATGACATTGATCATCAATGCACAATTGGATTTTAACCCACACTTAAGTAACAGATGCACAGTGTGAAAACTATTAGTATTTAATTACTTCTTATGGAGGATCAAAGTAATGGGCAAGGTTAACTCCAAAATGAAAATATTTAGATGTAAAATCCTTCAAGAACTAATAAAACCATTTAAAATACCTTTTCATCCTTTGGTTCTGGGAGAGCGACCTGCTCTAAACTCTGCTGCAGTTCTAAGCGATTTTGAGCATTCTTGAACATATATCCAGTCATCATTACACTGTACATGAGTTGTGCAAGATTTTCAGCAACCTGAACCAAATATTAAAAATCAAACATGGTGGTACAATAAATAAATATTTAAAAACTAGGCCTGTTATTACCAAATATCAATTGTACAAAAAGTATTTGGGTGATCTTGAATGTAAGAATAACAAAAGGGTTATATACGAACCGTGGTGACAGTCACTGCAAAAAACTGTGGAGGTAGAGTTCCAATCATATTTGTGACTGTTTGGCGCATTGCATCAACAACCTAAAAAGGAACCGAAGATGTATTAATTTATCAGGGAAAGTCAGGGAATACAAAATAAAAGTTAGCTGAATACTATATCAAGTAAATAAAAGCCCACCTGTTGAGGTGCCCTCTGAACAAACAACTCCATGAATTCTGGCTGGACATTTTTAACATATTCCAGAAGAATGTCTCTCCGAGATTTTGGCTGCCAATTGCATAAAATATATTCTGAGAATTATAGATGGTCAACATAAAGAGAACTGAATTGATATAATTGTAATAGCTCAAGCCCACCGCTAGCAGATATTGTCTGCTTTAGCCTGTTACGTATAGTCGTCAGCCTCACGGTTTTAAAACACGTCTACTAGGGAGAGGTTTCCACACCTTTATAAGAAATGCTTCGTTCCCCTCTCCAACCAATGTGGGATCTCACAATCCACCCCCCTTGGGGCCAGCGTCCTCGCTGGCACACCACCCAATGACTAGCTCTGATACCATTTGTAACAACCCAACCCCGTCGCTAGTAGATATTGTCTGTTTTGGCCCGTAACGTATAGTCGTCAGCCTCACGGTTTTAAAATGCATCTACTAAGGAGATGTTTCCACACTTTATAAGAAATGTTTCATTCCCCTTTCTAACCAATATGCGGTCTCACAATAACAACCATCAAGTCCATCATGATGACGAAAAAGAAAACCATCTAAGGTAGATTAATAGTAAAAGTAACATCATTTTCAACAATTTGCAGAGAGTACCGTTTAATGGCAAGTAGCAAGTTAAAACCTCTACGTGGACGTGAATGTACAACCCATTACAGACAGAAGATAGCATTCATAATTTCGTCATTTGACAGAGAAATAATAATAAAAATGAAATCCATAATATGAAAAACTTTTGATAGCTATGAATAAAGTGTCCGGCCAGGTTGTGTACCCGCAGCTAATTAATGCTCATGAGACAACTTCAAAGCGTAGGCTTCTCTCAATTATGTGTTAAATTCAAGGACTATCACCAAACCAAATTCAATATGAAAAATCTTCACTCATACTATTCCACTAAAATATAAAGAGAATACAGTAAACCCAAATTCACGCTACTGGAATGCTTCAAACTTCCCCAAGTTTGCGTTGACAATTTGAGAACAATCCAAATTGAGTTTAAAAACCATACGGTAGAAGATAAAGCACAGAAGGTAAGGCGAGAGAGAGGAGGGGCAGAGAGGAATACCGAAGTACCGTTGGGAGGGTTGGAATCGGCAGAGGAGGCATCGGGTGTGCCGCCCTTGGAAGAATCGTAGGCGCGGAGTGTGAAGGCGAAACCATTTCTGGGCTTCTTTGGGAGGCTAATCGAAGAGAAACGAAGAAAAGTAAAGGGAAAAGAAGAAGATGAAGGCGAAGATAACTTAGAGGTGAGAAAGAAGGGTTTTAGAGTGAAGGAAGACATGGTTTAGCTCCGTAGTTGTAAACAGAGAGATTAAAGATTGAGGCTATTGAGGGCTTGAGTTCTGAAAGCCTAAAATGGTGAAGATTATCGCCATTAGAGACCCTGCAAGAGGAGCTTTTCTGGTGGGCAGGGGCCGGGAAATGCAGCACCAGCGTTAATGATGAGTCCTTCACCACCGGCACTTCTCAGCCTCCTATTTCAGTTATTCCCTAAAATTTCTCATTTAATTTTTTGGGATTCTCTTAAGTTAATATGTACAGATAAATTAATATCTTTACATAGAAGATGAGGTGGTGTAAGGTGTCACGTTCATGTTTGTCGCGTGTTGCCCGTGGCCGCATATCGAATGTATCTCGATCATGCTTGTCCATAACGTGTTGTCTATGACTGCATGCATGTTAGATAGACATTTTGCTATCATTGTTATGTCAATATGAGAATGTATGACTAGTTGTCTGTACCGTCAAGGCTAAAATGCTTCAAAAATATATTATAATTAGATCTAACTCGTTATCGGGTTATATGATATCAAAGTCGTTGCCTACTCCCCTTTAGCTTATAACATTGTTTTCTTTAAAACTATTTTCTAACGTATTTCTTTGTATTCCACAGTAGTGCAATTGTGACATATAAGGCACGAAACCGCAGCTTCCGCCTTGACCGGGCAATGCTCTAACCAATTGAACTACCATCTCGATTTTATTAATATTTCAATTCCTATCCAAATTTTAATATCACTCGAAGGAATTTTAGTCATCAAATCAACTCAGCATATACAAGGCTGGATCCTCCAAATTAACTAGCAACAGGTGCATTTTGGAGTCAAAGCTAGCAGTGGGAGTGAGTGAACCAAAATAGTTCAGGAATGTCGTGAACACGAAACTCAAGAAATGGATAACGTTAAAGAATGAATAAACATAGTTCTTCACGATTACGAACCGAAATCACATATTTCCAATCTAAATGGATTTGGAAACAAAAAAAATTCCTAAGCGACTAAAGAGACCGAGAGACTAGACATCACCAAATCTTCATTGTGAAGGAGGCAGTTCTTGGGGTGGTTCCTCAGTCGAAGCAGGAGGGGACGATCCAAAGTCGAGATTCGGGTAGACACCAGGTGGCCTCTCTCGAGCTTGTATCGACAGCAACTGACTCGAGTCGCCAACTACATCTGCCCATCCGTAGTGAGGTTCGGCCCTTCAATGAAAGAGCAAGTTTGTTAAAATGCCATTGATTCTCACGTTTGTAGGTAAGTTGCAGCTAGCCTAGAGAAAACTTACTCATAGTATGTCTCTTCATCCACAACAATATCCCAACTTTCCCCCGTCGTGCTCTTCCCATATTTGTGCACTTTACTGCGTACACAATGATATGATATTATCAGCTACCAATACAGTACAGCTATGAAGTACTAGCTAAGTTTCTCAGTGTGCCTGAAATGGCATGTTATTTACAATATTCATTATGCCATTATAGCTTGAATCTTACCCATTTCCGAAGTGTTCTTCACCCCATGTTCTTGACCAACCTTGTACATGTGACGGGAAGCCAGTTAGTTCCACTTCTCTCATAACCAACAAAAAATACAAAACACAGCGCAAGGTTTAGCACAAATATTTGCCAACTGAAAAGACCAATGTGCTTGGCAGTCCCACATGGCACAGGCCTCATCGATCGAATTCTTCGAGGAAATCGTGAAAAAACTAATCATAGATATGATTTATCTACCACGAATTCAATGGAACCAATTGAATATGATGCTAGATTAGACTTACGTTCGCTACTAGGAGATACGTGCCACGTCTCCCCTTGTCGAGAACCGATTCCCGAAAAGAACTTCTCTTCCCACTTGTCTCCCCATTTGGTGCCTAGTTCAGTTTCAGCCCATTTATCCGTCCTGAGAAGTAAAAGCACCGAAAGAGATCTCAGTTAGCATCATAGAACTATTTGAGTAAAGCTTTTGCCATTCAAATTTTGAAACAATGATTAGAGAAAACCATTTAAGAACGGATCCTCTTCCGTCGTAATGCTCTCCCCACTTTTCCCACCATGACTGTTCATTCAATCTACCATATTTATGTGCTCCTTTTTCGGTCCAACCTTTGGCGTCGTATTTCTCCCACCTGTATCACTTAAAAAAGTTACAAACTTTTTTTTGTAATGGTAACCACCCAAGCTTACATCTAGCAGATATTGTCGTCTTTGGACTTTCCCTTTTGAGCTCCCCCTCAAGGTTTTAAAACGCGTTTACTAGGGAGAGGTTTTCACACCCTTATAAAGAATATTTTGTTCTCCTCTCCAACTAACGTGGGACCTTACAATCCACCCCTTGGGGGTCCAGCGTCCTCGCTGGCACACCGCCCGATGTCTAACTCTGATACCATTGTAACAGCCCAAGATTACTGCGGGCAAATATTGTCCCCTATGGGTTTTCCCATCTGGGTTTCCCCTCGAGGTTTTAAAACACGTTTACTTGGAAGAGGTTTCCACACCGTTATAAAGAATTTTTTGTTCTCCTCTCCAACCGATGTGGGACCTTACAATACTACATATCTAATTTTCCTAGCTTCAGTTGTATTGAATATGATCTCACCATTTCTCATGCCATCCAGCATTTTCAGTGCCAGATTTTGCTCGTTTCTGTGCACTCCTCTCAATCCTTGCAAGATTACTGTACCAACAGAATTACAGAGAGTATTTATTTTACTTGGTAAGAAGTGGTCTCCTCAACTTCATTGAGCAAGTGTATAATAATAGTAGAAAAACCTCCATTCGTCTTGATGAAGAATTTCTTGCCATGTTTCCCACCACGAATCACCTTCAACGTTTTTGCCCGATTTTTCCACTCCTATCGAGGGACGTAAAATTCAGTCAGGACAAGCAAGACAGAATTTAGTGAATATAAGCAAGATAGTAGGTGCTAAAAGAAGAAAGTCGAATGCATAATGATCAAAAAGCAGGGTCAAAAGCATTCTGTGATTCTAGAATCAATATCAAACACAGATGATGAATAATTATCAAATTTTCACATGTTTAACTTCGAAGCTACGTTAACCAGCAGTTCTCGGCAGTCGAGTAAATATCTATAGTGTATAGTGATCTTATAGCTAGGGAGCTTACAGAATCTAGCTCTTTGGAGAAAACAAAAGAGAACGTGGGGAAAGTAAGTTATTTTATGAGAAAAGAAGCAAAGATACCTAGCTCTTTGTATCCAGTCCAGTCACTTTTCTCCCACCACTGTCAATGAGATCAATAAATCCATTAAATGCAGTGACCTGGGATGATACTTCAATGAGTTATAAAAACAATGTCAAAGTGACAGCAGTGCAAGAACATCTTATGATGCTTCATTTTTAGCATGAGTTCTGTATTAAATAAATGACATTCAGAAGTTAACCAACCAGAAAATGGAAGAATTTTTCCAACTGGCTCAGTTGTAACTATTGTTATATTTAAAAAATAAAAATCCAAGTGGAGACTTATCTGTAATTAAAAGAAATGACCAATGCCCCAAGCTAAATTGATCGAGAGACATTGAACAGTTGATCACAAAATTTTACTGGGTTAACTACGTCTCTATGAGAAATAGTGTAACAACAATAAGAACTAATGTGAGATTCCACGTCGGTTGGAGAGGAGAATGAAACATTATTTATAAGAGTGTGGAAACCTCTCTCTAGCAGACGCATTTTAAAATTTTTGAAGGGAAGCCCAAAAGGGAAAGTCCAAAGAGGACAATATTTGCTAGCGATGGGCTTGAGCCTTATAAATGGTATTAGAGTCAGACACTAGGCGATATGCCAGTGAGGAGGCTAAGCCCCGAACGGGGGTGGGCACGAGGCAGTGTGCCAGCAAGGACGCTGAACCCCGAAGGGAGTGGATTGGGGGGTCCCACATTGATTGGAGAAGGGAACAAGTGTCAGTGAGGACGTAGGCTCTGAAGGGGGGTGGATTGTGAGATCTCACATCGGTTGAAGAGGAGAACTAACTTTATAAGGGTGTGGAAAACTCTTCCTAGTAGACGCGTTTTAAAAACTTTGAGGGGACGCTCCAAACGAAAAATCCAAAAATCTGTGATCTTGGCACCAACAAATCTGTAGAGGTTCTGAAGGCTACACCATACTGGAGGACCTCAAGAGGATTTTGCCATCCATCATTACTGAAAACCAACTAGGCTTTGTGGAAGGTCACCATATCTTAATGTATGTTTTATTGCAAATGAACTCATCAGTGAATGGAAGAGATTGAAGAGGAAAGAGGTTATTATAAAGCTCAACATACACAAAGCGTTTGACAAAGCAGACTAGGATTTTCTCGAGCTTCTCCTTCAAGCCAAAGGTTTTGGTTCTAGATGGAGGTGCTAGATTAGAGGTTGTATATCTTCCACCAATTACTCTATCATCATTAATAAGTGTCCTTGTTGAAAGATTTTGGCGTTGAGGGGCCTTAGGCAAGGCGACCCTCTCTCACCCTTTCTTTTCATCATTATTCTAGACTGTTTTAGCCGTCTTATGAATCTAAAGATTGTTCTATGAAGGGTTTTTTGGTGGGGGCAGGAAGAGCTTAGTATCCATCAATTACATACATCAATGAAGTTGTAATTTCTCTTGTGTAATTTCATACATCAATGAAATTGTATCTTATCCAGAAAAGAAAGAAAACCATGGATTGTCAGAGTTTTCCTAGTAAGAAAGTTAATCAGATTGCTTAAGTTTGCTTCATTCTAGATCAACAACAAAGTCAATTACAGACAAAAATACAAAATTAATACCGTTTCTTTCCATTCTGAGTAACCATCATGAGATTGACCGCCCATCCTAGTCCACCTACATCGGTATCCATTATCTCCAAGGTCCTCCCCACTTTCCCTATACCAAGTACTGCCATCTTCATTTGTGCCCGACTCGTTAACATTTTCATTCAACAAGTTGATTCCCCAGTCCTTCTCATTTGCAATGCCAGTGTCTACAGCAGAGGAAGATATGTCTTATCAGTTGTGACTAATACTCGGTAAAGGCCATTCCAGAATTTCATATTATGATACACAAATGCGCTTCTAGACTACCTGGGCTAGCTATGAAATTCCTATAAAGCAATTTAGATTACCTCTTTTTGGCGGAGAATCACGTGATTGTGGACCAGAGCCCCTTGGGGAGCAGCGAGGGAGTATTTCTGGCTTGGCAATAAACCGAGATCTGCAGAAACAAGAAGATGAAGCAACCCCGTGAGAGGATAACAGCCATATGCAACTTGCGCGAATATTGAGCATTAACTTGAACAACTATAACCATGTTTCCCAATCATGCCTAGTTAGAAGAAGTAATAAGTAATAACTCATTTCCAGTAAAATGAGTTCAAATTTCGAACTATCAGATGAACTGTTTCATCCAGAATAATCCAATTGCAACGCACAGAAAAGGGTTGAAGAAAGCAACAAGAAGCATTAATTATTTCCAGTTTAGAACTTCAACTTACTGAGAGGAAGCAAAGGGCATTGCAGGAGTGGCTTGGATACAGAGTTTGGCATCGAAACGCCAATCTTCTTGCTTCTCTACGCTCTTCCCAGACCCAGTAATTCTTCGTATCGGAACCATAGAATCAGAACAGCAGCAACGAATAGAACTAAACCCAACTCGATTAATCCCAAACAGAATCCTCCCCCATGTCCTCCTCCTCAGCTCGGCCCCCCCACGGCTACGCAACAGAACCGACTCGACCCGCCTGTCGAAATCGAAATGGGTCGGGAATCCTCTGCAGCAGGCGGCCATTGCTTACAGAAATCCCATGGGAAAGCAGCGAAATGAAGAAAACAAAATGTGGGTATTGTGGATTGGAGGCAAAAAGTAAGAAACAGTCTCGAAATCTCAATTTGGAGCGGTAGGTAAGTTCTTAAGAATTGGGAATGCGAAGGAATAGGGGAAAATGATCATGGAAGATCAAAGAAGAGAGAAGTTCCAAAGAATCTGATGTGAAGAGGCATTTGAAAATGGAGAGAGAGAAATTGCGTGGGCTGAAGTAGAAGGGCGGGCAGAGTTATCAGATCGGTGGTGGTTCGGCGAAGGGAAGGAAATTCGGAGATTTATTCAAACACGTGAGCAGGGGAGAAGGGGTCCCACAAGTGCGGATTTTGTATAATGGACATTCCACGTGGCACCGTCTGAGCCGTCACTTCTCTTTTTTCTCAGATCGGGAAATATTTCTTTATATTTTTTTCTCCAATTTATTTAAAAACATGTTTTAAAGTTTATTTAAATATTTGTTTTATAAAATAATTATTCTAAAAAGTGTTCGAACTAATAATTGTACTAAAATAGATTATTCATTTATAAAATAATAGTTACTAATTTATAAGAAAACTATTATTATATTATAAAATGCACTTTATTGTATTTCAAACTATACTTGTTATATAAATTTATATTTAGTTATTCAAATTATGTGATATAAAACATTGCTCTTAAAAAAAAGAAGATTCCCAAGTGACCAAATTAATTAAATTTTTTTTATTATGAAAAAGAGTCCAATTATTAAGGGATTATTGCTTCCGAAAGCGACATTTTTTTTCTATATTTATTGTATTTAATTAAAGAATGTGTTGTCGTTAATGTTGGCATTAATATTATTATTAGTATCACAATAATTAATATTAACATAATAATAATAAAAATAAAAATAAAAATAAAAAGCAGTTTGTTCATAGGTGGATGGGAATGGGACCCATGTTGGAAAGGAAAAGCTCCGAATTTCCTCGAATCTTATCCACTTTTTACCCCTTTCCCTGCTTTGCACCTGGTTTCGACACGTGTCACAACCTCAATCTAGGGTGACATGGCAAGATTCTGATTGGCAAAGGCAACTAACTCATTATTTGTGGATAAAATGGAAAATCATATCCAACGTGGCAAAAGGACACTTGGTCAGCAAAAGTTCCACATTTTCAATTCAAACAAACACCTACCATAGAATAACTTGGTCTTGGTCTGAAGACTTCTGCTACTAAACGGTGAAACAGAGGTTTCACAGGGGCAGCCCTGACATGGCATTCCTGTTGTTTTTCAATCCAAGTACATTCGGATAAGCATCAAAATTTCAATTATATTCATCCACAAACAATTCACACGAGATGGTAATCATCGGAGAAAATCATTGCCTAACTTTCTTTTTTCTTTTTCCTTCCAAGTTATTTATTTGATAGAGATGGTAGTGGGCTTGGACGGTTACAAATGAGTATCAGAGACAGATACAGGTGATGTGGATTGTGAAATCTCACATCAATAGGAGAAGAGAAAGAAACATTTTTGTATAAAGGCGTAAAAACCTCTCCCTAGCAGACGTTTTAAAAATCTTGAGGAAAAACTTGAAAAGAAAAGCTCAAAAAAGACAATATCTACTGATATTAGCGGTGGGCTTTTAGTCATTACATGGGCAATGCTATAAACATCTCAGAACTTTGGAGATAAATGGTTGGTCGTTGCTGTTCGTTGTTTCCCAGCTGTGCCCATGTCCCAAGTACCAAACAGCATAGGCATCCAAACCAAGAGGAAATCAAAATCTATAATAATATCATTTTCTTTTCTGGCGGAAAGTTTAAGCTGTATGCACTAGTTGAGTAAGTTCAACACAACAAAACAACAAACGGTAGAAGAAAGGTACTTGCTTGTTCATAACAGCTATGGCATCTTCAGAACAATAAAATTACTCCCTGGGTAGTGTATACTTTCTCCGTTACTGTGGTCGTGCTCGTCCAGTGATCTCGTAAATAACGTCATAAAGACTTGTTTGAACTAAATCCAGAAACAATGGTCACTCCTGCTGTGGAACAGATGTAAGCTTTGATGGGAGGGTTAACGCAAGTCCAGTAGCCGTAATGAGAAACTCTAAATCAAACCGAGGAAGCAATCAATATTGGGAAAGAAAATCCAAGATGAAATCCATTATCTCGAGAGAAAAGGCTTCACTGATTCTACAACGACCTGTTCGCAAGAAAAAAAAAATGAACATGTCATTCTGAAGAACTGTAAACTGGGTTGATTTACAGATGAATGAACGACCATAAAAAAGGGAAGAAAAAAAACATGATTAAAACCTCCACCAGAATTTGTTACAATTTCTTGGAAACCAATGTCAATCTGGGAACAGTTGAAGCCTACTTACCCTCCCATCATAGGACAATGATGCAAAGATCCAAGGCTCACGAAAGCTCCAAGCAAGGCCTTTTAGTTTGAAAGTAAAGCCAACCGATAAGTTTGATCCACTGGATATATATATATATATACTAAAATGACAAAGGCTACAGGTGTGTTACCATAAACGCTGTCTTCGTAGTCACTGTAAGAATGTAATAATGGATCACCTTGCTGTGGTGGTGAATCAACCGACCTGCTCATAAATTAATATAAACAAGTATCAGCATAAATGTCAAAGAGAAAAAGAAAAAGAAACATCACAAACAAGAACATGACCTTTCCGATTTCAGTTCACCATTACACACAGATGGCAACCATAAGCTAACAGCTGAATGAGTACCAGCACTCTGCAATTATATACAAGTATCATTGGCTCAAAGATGCATTGAAAAATTGGAAGGCCTTGTACTATAAATAAAAATGATTTCACCAGCCATCATATCACATTAGTTGGGGAAGAGAACGAAACACCTTTATAAGAGTGTGGAAACTTTTCCCTAGCAGACACGTAATAGGGAAGCCCATAAGGGAAAACCCAAAAACCTTGAAAGGAAGTCCGAAAAAGAAAGCCCAAAGAGAATAATATTTGGTAGTGGTGGGTCTGGGCCGTTACATCAACTTCCAGGGATTTAGTTAATAATAATTAGAAACACATGTAGAAGAGAAGCATAAAGTGCAATTTAACAAACACGAACTGAACAGTAAAATAGGTTCGAAGAAGTGACTCTATGTAGAAATGGAGAGGAGAGAAGGAGAGCAAACCAAGATTAGCCCATCATGTTCAGGATTAGAACGAGCAGCACAAGTCCTGTGTTAGATAAAACCTGAGTTTTACCGTTTTTCTTATTCACACGATTTTCTGAAAATCGTGAGTTTGACCATTTCACAAAACACGTCGAATGGATCACCATTTCACAAATCACGTCGAATGGATCACCAGAGTTTTAGGAGAGAGTGGCACAGATTTAGTTGGCCACTCTCCGGCCAATTTTAGAATCCTTTTTACTTTGAATAGAAGAATTGTTGATCACCAGAGTTTCAGGAGGGAGTGGCACAGATTTAGTTGGCCACTCTCCAGCCAATTTTAGAATCCTTTTTACTTTAAATAGGAGAATTGTTCAGAAAATAAAATAACCTGAACGCAGTCAAATTCAGAGTTATTTTTTCTCTCTCCTTTTTGTTACGCATTTTCCCAATTTCCTCTCACCGAAATTATGTGAAAACCAACAAGTGGTATCAGAGCCAAGTTGAAGATCGGTGTATATCATTGCAGAAGAGCCAACCTATCAACAAACAAGTTGAATAGCTCAAGTGGTTAGAGCTTTGATCTAACATCACAAAGGTCTCAGGTTCGAGTAGAAGAAAATGCAAAGTGTAAAAACACACACATCGTGGGGCCCATCTTGGGGGTAGGCTCACTCACTCACTCCTCCACGCCGTCGTCGTGTGCTGACATCTCCATCACCGCCGCCACGAAGAGGGCGTCAAGTTATCGTTGAGCGGGTGATCAGGGAGACAACGACGGCAGTTTGCCGCCATATTACGATCTGTGCCCCCAGAGATGGTGGCATCTCTCTCCACCAAGCGCGCACCGCGCAATCGGCCTCGGCCTGGGAGGGAATCAAATCCCGCCGGGTCGGTGTACAGCGAGACAGAAATCGTGAAGAAGATGCTGCAGGTTGTCCCTGATCACCTCGAGCAAGTTGCGATTTCAATCGAGACATTGCTTGACGTGAACGACCTAACGGTAGAAGAGGTGACTGGAAGACTGCGTAACGTCGAGCAGCGGAAGAAAAATACCATTTCAGCTGTCGACAAGGGGGGTCGTCTACTCCTCACAGAGGAGGAATGGCTTGCACGTCTAAAGCTCCGTGACAACACCGGCCAGAGCAACGGGTCCTCCTCCAGCCGCAAAGACGGTAAGAAGCCATGGATCTCCCACGGGCGCATGCCGCGGGAAAGATGGGAATCAAAAGAAGGAGTCGACCAATGGCAGGCCAATCTGCTCGAACTGTGGGAATAGAGGACACCTAAGCAGGAATTGCTGGAGCAAGCTTAGGAACAAGGAGATGACCGAAAAGGCCCATGTGGCTCAATCCGAGGAGACGAGCCAGCCAGCTCTCTTCATGGTAAGTGCATGGTGTCCCCACTCTCGATTCCAAATCCACGGAAATGGAGGTAATCAACAACGATGTTGAACTCGAGAAAGAGCTCCAGCTGGGCGTAGCAAAGGTGGCACCAGCTAGGGAGCCAATTCAACTGGAGGAGGAGCGAGTGTTCGCTCAGATCAGCGAGCGGGACGAGCAACACAAGGACCGGCGATGGATCCTAGACACAGGGGCAACAAACCATTTCCCCAATTTCCTCTCACCGAAATTCTGTGAAAACCAACATCCTGCAGAAATATTAAGTACAAAGGATCACAGTTAAAACATTTAACATGAGCACAGAACAGATTTTACTGTTCAACACATTCCAGGGAAAACAGGGGAATCTTATAAAAATTACCAGTGGGTTTGTCCAGGAAGCTGTTGAATTGGGACTTTTGGCTTCCTAAGGTCCCAGAGAGATATTCCAGTTTCTTCCACAGCAGTTACCTTAAAACAGGGGACATTTTGTTAATGCCAAGATGGAGGAGAAAAATCCAATATATATAGTGGCAAACACCAACTTGAGAGACGTTTTTTTTTTCTTAAAAAAAAGGAACAAAAGGGCAGTGTGTATAATATTTTGACAAAATCCTTCTCTATATGCATTCACTAGTAAATAGAAGAGATTTCAAATTTGATACTGCAGTGAAAAAGAATCCTTACAAGTAAATGTTTCCTCTTGGGGTTGTAATCCACATTACGAATCTACCCAGAGCACGCAATCGAGTCTGTCTTCCTGTAATAAACATCTCATAAGCCAATGCAGAATTTATCAAAGAATAGAAACATCTCATAAGTCTGTCTTCCTGTATAATAATTTGGATTTGTTTCTATCTTAGACAAAAATATATTTTCGATCTTTTGTTTAAGACTAATATGCATCAGGCTAAAGGTATTTCAACTCCTATGATAAGTGGTTCGGTGTTATCTGCTTTTTGTGGCAACTTTTCTTTTTGAAGTTCGTCTCTATTGTAGTGTTGTTCGTCTCTGTCGTAGTATTGTTGCTGTTGGTGTGCTATCTAAGATTGCTGATGTGTTTACTAAGCCAGTTGATTGAACTGTTTATCATTTATTCATTTGTATTCACAGTATGCCTATATGAAGGCTAGTGTACTTTTGATCATTCTCAGTGAAAAATATCATCCTTTGTGATCATTCTCTTTAGCTCTGTATTCTTTGTGAATTTATGAGTCAACATTATGGAAATTAGTAAAATGGCGGTATAAAAAAGCAACGCATCAGAAGAATGCACAACAGAAAATTGTGTTTTGTGCAATCAATTAATTACCAGTGGAGAAGACGGTAGAGAAAATGCGTTGGTCGAAGGGGCAAGATGCGAGGTCCCAGATCTCATTGGGGTGAGAAAACAAACCCTCACATATGAGCTCGGATCCACTCGACGAGAGACGAATCAAATGCACCTAATAGACTTCAAAATGCATCAGATCCATGCAAAAAACAAACAATACAATCATGCAATGAAATTAATCGACGTAAGACTGAGAGTAACCTCATTTACGTCTTTGAGACTGAGAGTACCGGTGATGAAGCTGGTGTGATCTGTATCTGCTTTGACATCAGCGATGCTTCGAGCCTGGAGAAGAAAACAATTTAGAAAATGGGAATTAGGGTTTATAGTGAAGAAGATCTATGGAGTTCCAATACCATGAATACATTTGTCATCAGAAATTGAACAACATTGACCTGGTATTTCAGCCCGTAGCCAATGCCTGATGATCCACCTTGCATGGCGGAAGCGACCGGCATGATAATGAAACACTCAACGATGATCAAACGGTAACGCGCTCATGAAATCGTTGGCAGGAAGCCCCGTCCTAATGAAGCTGAGTAGGCTACACTACAAAATACAAGGCTGTTGCTTACATTTCGTTTTCACTGGGTAATTCAGAGCTGGGATACGGTACAAAATACAAACACTTTGGAGGAAAAAAAATGATGAAAAGTCGTAATTGCCCTTTTTCTAAACAGGTTTCTTTTCNTTTTTGTCATTTTTTTTTTCTTTTTTTTTTTTTTTTTTTTTTTTTTTTTTTTTTTTTGTAATGAAATTTCATTTGTACCTTGAATTAAAATACATAAAAAGACTAAATCGTTCATGGAAAACGTAAATAATTTCATATATACTACAAAATAATTGAAAATAAACTCAAACCTAGTCCTTTAAGGAATCTAGCTAGTCGTAATGAAAAAAGATGATCTGGAGACCCATAGAATAGGGAGAGGAGTTAAAGAGAATGAATGAATCTTAGAGGAAACTCCGTCTATACCATAGCAAAAGTTATGAAAATTAAAATTCAGAGATTGTAATAAAAAAAAAATAAAAATTCAGAGAGTGTAATAAAAAAAAATAATAGCAAAAGTTAATCAAAGATCAACTTAAAGAAACGACTTCCGTGCTCCATTCCTTGAATCCTTATAAAAAGAAGTGAAGATTCAAGAAACGGATCATGGGAGACACGGTGGGCTAGTTCAATTTACTTAGATAGAATATTCCTACACGAAGCATTCTTCGTGAATAGTTGTAACTAACCATATCACAATCATTCACTAGAACAGTTTCATGTGAAACAAATAAAACAAACTTCATCATGACTTCCGTGCTCAGTTTCTTGAATCTTCACAAAAAGAAGAGAAGATTCAAGAAACGGAGCATGGGAGACACGATGGACTTGTTCACTTTGCTTAAATAAAATATTCCTACAAGAAACGGTCCTCGTGAATGGTTGTGAATCATATCACAATCATTCAAAGACTAAAATAATGTGTACAATAAATAACCAATATTTGAAAAGAGACACTTCCCTTGCACTAGAAATATGCAACAAATTCGAGCAACCAAATTTATAAGTAAAAAAATCATTGGAATCATGAAAAATTATATAATTGAAAATCAACTAAATTTATAGGTAAAAAAAACATCATTCAAATAATAGGAAATTATATAATTGAAAATCATTTGTTTGGATGTACCTTCTATTTTATATGATTTCTGGTAGCAAAATAAGTAAACACTCATAAAATAATAAATAAGTTAAACGGAGTATACTAAATGTTGATTTCTTAAAATAATCCACTTAAAATGAAAATAATATGCTTTATGAATAACAAATTCATAATAAAAAAATCATAAAATAATAGCAAACTCGATAATAAAAATTCAGAAAGTGTAATAAAAAAAAATAATAGCAAAAGTTAATCAAAGATCAAGTTAAAGAAACGACTTCCGTGCTCCATTCCTTGAATCCTTATAAAAAGAAATGAAGATTCAAGAAACGGACCATGGGAGACACGGTGGGCTTGTTCAATTTACTTAGATAGAATATTCCTACACGAAACATTCCTCGTGAATAGTTGTAAATAAGCATATCACAATCATTCACTAGAACAGTTTCATGTGAAACAAATTAAACAAACTTCATCATGACTTCCGTGCTCAGTTTCTTGAATCTTCACAAAAAGAAGTGAAGATTCAAGAAACGGAGCATGGGAGACACGATGGGCTTGTTCACTTTGCTTAAATAAAATATTCCTACAAGAAACGGTCCTCGTGAATGATTGTGAATCATATCACAATCATTCAAAGACTAAAATAATGTGTACAATAAATAACCAATGTTTGAAAAGAGACACTTCCCTCACACTAGAAATATGCAACAAATTCGAGCAACCAAATTTATAAGTAAAAAAATCATTGGAATCATGAAAAATTATATAATTGAAAATCAACTAAATTTATAGGTAAAAAAAACATCATTCAAATAATAGGAAATTATATAATTGAAAATCATTTGTTTGGATGTACCTTCTATTTTATATGATTTCTGGTAGCAAAATAAGTAAACACTCATAAAATAATAAATAAGTTAAACGGAGTATACTAAATGTTGATTTCTTAAAATAATCCACTTAAAATGAAAATAATATGCTTTATGAATTACAAATTCATAATAAAAAAATCATAAAATAATAGCAAACTCGATAATAAAAATTCAGAAAGTGTAATAAAAAAAAATAATAGCAAAAGTTAATCAAAGATCAAGTTAAAGAAACGACTTCCGTGCTCCATTCCTTGAATCCTTATAAAAAGAAATGAAGATTCAAGAAACGGACCATGGGAGACACGGTGGGCTTGTTCAATTTACTTAGATAGAATATTCCTAGACGAAACATTCCTCGTGAATAATTGTAAATAAGCATATCACAATCATTCACTAGAATAGTTTCATGTGAAACAAATTAAACAAACTTCATCTTGACTTCCGTGCTCAGTTTCTTGAATTTTCACAAAAAGATGTGAAGATTCAAAAAACAGAGCATGGGAGACACGATGGGCTTGTTCACTTTGCTTAAATAAAATATTCCTACAACAAACGGTACTCGTGAATGGTTGTGAATCATATCACAATCATTCAAAGACTAAAATAATGTGTACAATAAATAACCAATGTTTGAAAAGCGACACTTCCCTCGCACTAGAAATATGCAACAAATTCGAGCAACCAAATCAAAATAATATACTTGAATTGTTTAATATGTTTATGTTTTAAAACGACTCAAATATATAACTAAATCATAATCATTCAACCTATCATAAATCTTATTCAAACCCGAACTAAATAAAATAATAAAGCAATACGAAAATGATAAAAGAATAGCGATAATAAAAAATAAAAATCAGAAAAAGGATAACAAAATGAAATAAAATAATATAAAAAGTCGTAACAAAAAAATATATATAATATAAAAAAAAAGGTAAAGTTAGGTTTTAAATTAATGCAAGCTAATTATTTGAAAATACTCAAAACCAACCATGAATCAATATTTATGATAATACAATAAAAATATTGGTAAAAACGAATTCTTTTTTAGCCCGCCCAAAACTTGAACCAAACTTATTTAATTTCAGAAAATTAATCAAACCCAACTCGAAATGCATTAAATGTATATCCCTCACAATAACACAATCAAATAAAAAAATGGATGGGTGCTTTTAAATGACTCCGACCTTACACTATTAATATTCATTCTCAAACATGGAAACCTATTATAATGAAAAGAAAACCACTTACCTTTTTTTTTTGCAGAAATTGTAAATACTTTTGTGTATTGTACATCTTTTTAGATATAACTCCATTGTAAACTCCATTGCAAAGATTGTGGTAGTCTAAATTAAACACTTCCATACGGTATTGGAGGGAGAATTTCAAAATTATGGAATACAATTTTGTCAACCCAATAATATTATTTATAGAATTTTAAAAAATCTTAACAAAATAATTATTTGAATTAAATGTTATTCAAATTTTAAATTTATAGAATCTTATAAAAAAAACAATATATTTGAATTATAATATTTTATTTCTAACTCTATATATTTAACTAATTTAAATCTTATTTTAAATTTTATATATTTAAATAATTTAAATTTTATTCAAATTTAGTTAAATGTTCTATAAATTTTAAATTTAAAAGAATTCTAACAAAAATGATATAATATCTCATTTCAATTATATACCTTTAACTCATTTAAATCTTATTTAAATTTTGATTTTAAAGAATCTTATCAAAATAATATATTAGAATAGATAAATTAAGATATAATATGTTATTTCAATATTATATATTTAACTAATTTAATTTTTATTCAAATTTTAGAGAATTTTTTTCGATTTTAAATAGAAGAATCTTAACAAAATAATATATTTAAATATCTAATATATTAACTCAATAATCATTCCCTAAATTAGATTATTTACTCGTCTCTTTAGGCCAAGTATAAATTGGTTTGGAATAATGAGATTTTTATGATAGGAGAAGGTTTCTACACCCTTCTAAATAGTGTTTTGTTCTCTTCTCGAATCCGTAAAGGTTTGGGAAGGTTTCCTCACCCGTGTTTTATTCTTTTCTCCAACAGGGAAGATTTCCCTCTCAATTAATGTAGACATCACAATAAATTTTGAGAAAATTGAAGAATGGATTCCAAAAATATTTCAAGATTTGTAACTTTGATGAATTGTCTTAGCCTTATAGCTTATTTAAGCTAGTAATTTGTTTTTTTTGGTAATTATCTTATATTTTCCTTTAATTATTTTATTATAGATATCCTTTCATTATTTTTTTTTTGCAACCCTATGTATTTATAGCTTTAATTTCATAGTATAATAAAGTTATTTAATACTTTATAATTACTACAGCTATCCTAATAACCTTTTTATTTGTGTTCCATAAATTTAATTCAATTTAATAGATAAACACATAAAATACGAATTTTATTAAAAAAAAAAAAAAAGAGAGAAAAATGAGAATTTCTAAATTGCATGGAATACTGAAGCAGAAATCAAAACTAGAAAACAAAGGAGACAGGTAAAGAATGAGAATAAGAGACCGGTTAAGAATAATGACTCACAGCTATGGTACAATATTGTCCATTTGAGCATAGACTCTCTCTTGGCTTTGTTTTGGGCTTCCCCAAAAGCGTGGTAGAATGGAGATAGCCTGAAGGAGCTACTTTCGAAGTAATAGAAAGAAAAGCAATGACTGGAGTGGGAGAGTCAAAGTCGAAAAGAGGATTCCTCACTTCTTTCTCTCATTCAAAACCGTGCATGAGACTTTCATCTGGCACAGCTCCTAAGCTAAGTGATAAAAGAAAGAAGAATTCATCTTCTTTCCTTTTTTTATTACATTCCTCGCGTGACTCAATCCCAACAATCTTCAATAATAGCACACAAACTAAATAAAATAATAATATACAAAATTAGAAAAAAAAAACGT